TCTTCCCAACAAACAAACAACGATGCATCTGCTAAAGACTCTTTAAACCCAATCTTAACTAGGCAGTTCTTCAGTTTGTCATGCCAGTTTCGAGGGGCTTGGCGTAAACCATACAATGCCTTTTTTAACCTGCACACCAAGGGACTACCATCAGCAACTACTTGCTCAAAACCAGGTGGCTGCTGCATGAACACCTCTTCATGCAGATCACCCTGCAGAAACGCATTGTTCACATCCACCTGGCGTAATTGCCAGTCATTCGTAACAGCTAATGAAAGAATTACATTAAACGTTGCAAATCTGACAACTGGACTGAATATTTCACCAAAATCATGTCCTGGCACTTGAGAAAAACCTTTAGCTACTAATCTAGCTTTATACTTGCTAATAGAACCATCAGAGTTCTTTTTCAATTTGAACAACCACTTACACCCCATCACTGACCGTCCTTCAGGTAGTTTCACTAGGGTCTACATACCATTCCTCCTTAAAGCTTTAACCTCTGCATGACCTGCTGCTCTCCAATGAGGTGACTGAATTGCTTCATGAATATTAAGAGGTTCCATGTCATCATAGCTAGCCACATACAACTTAGGCTTAAATATCCCACAATTACTCATTGTCAGCATCGAATGTCAATTCAACGAACTAGCATCATTTCCATCTCTTAAAGGGGCAACATTGTCAAATAAATCAGGTACTGCCACATGATGTCTTTGATTTGCTGATTCAACAGCTTCAGCTGCACCAACTTCACCACCTTCATTTTGTTGAGTTGCAGCTTCTAGGGAAGTTTCACCCATGTCAACTATGACCTGACCCATATGACCAGAGTTTCCATCCATATTGTCTTCACATGCACTAATTACTTTATGTGGAACAACTTCAGTCAAGCCAGCCAGATTCATATCATCAGAAGCCGTTCCTTGACCTGCACCAGCCGTGTTGACTCGAAATTGCCTCATATCAGTAACAACCTCAAGTTCTGTAGAGCTTCATTTATTAGATACAAATGTATTACTCGATCCTTCAAACCCTATAAATGGAAAGGTAAACTCATCAAAAATGACATGTCTGAAACCATTTATCCTACCACTAGCTGCTAAACACATGTAGCCTTTGTGCTGAGGGTTGTAACCAAGGAATGTACATGGATGAGAATGAAATTCAAGTTTGTGCTGCTGAAACAACCTCAAGTGAGGAAAACATTTACATCCAAAGACTCTCATGAAATCATAATTTGGCTTCTTTCCCAACAATTCTCATAAGGTGACAGCCCATCCAAAACCTTAATAGGAAATCGATTGATAAGAAATACTGCAATAAAAGCTGCATAATACAAATAACGCAAGGGCATAACAACTTGTGCTAGCAAAACCAAGGCAAGCTCAATGATGTCGATGCTTTCTTTCTACCACACCATTCTGCTTAGACGTATGGGGGCAAGCAACACGATGTACAATCCCTTCTTTTAATAACACAGATGACAGACTGCGATACTCTCCACCCCAGTCACTTTGTACAACCTTCACAGACAGCCCAAACTGAGTTGCAACCATTTGCTGAAACACCTTGAACGTGTTTACTGCCTGCGATCGTTCTTTCAAAAAATAAACCCAAGTGTGTCTTGAATAAGCATTAACAAATGACAAATAATAGTAATAACCATTTGAAGCTACATGAGTTGGTCCCCATATATCAGTGTACACAAGTTGAAAGGGTTCAATATAGACAGTCTTGGAATGACAGAAGGGTAACTTATGGCTTTTGCCAATGCAACACGCTTTACAAATTTTATTCACATATTTATTAACTTGTACAGCAATAGCTTTGAATACACTAGCAACTATATCATATGTTGCATGCCCTAACCTTCTATGCTAAAGGCTGTAAACATCACCAACTGTAGCAACATTTACAAAGGCATTTTTACAAACACTCGACATAGTAGTATTAGGAAACACATAAAGTCCCTCTCGCACTCTTCCTTGAAGAAACACCTATCCATTAACTGCATCACGAACACCCATTGTTTTCCTTAACAAACTTGAACACATATAACAAATTTTGTGTTATGCCAGGTACATGAAGTAAATCATTAACTAGCATCACTCTAGAAGCAGACTTCATGACCGTACTGCCAAACAAATTGACAGGTATTGAAGCACCATCACCCACAACTAGCTTACATGGACCACTGCAACCAGTTTTACGAGTTATAATATCTGCATCTGGAGTGACATGGTGGGTAGCTCCATAGTCAATAACCCACTGATCCTGCTCAGCCACTGATGCATCAGCACTGGTTGAAGCATGAAGTCGAGACCCTTCAAAGAACACATATGTGCACACTTATCATACGCAGCAGTATGAGCCTGAGCAGGTTCTTCATCATATCTGGGTTGATTGTTACTAACAACCTGAAACGATTCATCATAATTGTACCAACAACGATCAACTAAGTGACCAATTTTACGACAAAAGTAACACTGAACACGCGACATGCCTCATCCTCGACCTGCTCGACCACCAGACCTGCCACCTAACCGAGCAGCAGTCATATGATCTCTATCATAGCTTGAATAAGACCGTTTGGAGTAACCACCTGAACCAGCCCCACGAGCAATATGAGCCACAAACATCACCGTTTCTTCTTGAGCTGCAAAACCAGTGATCTGTATCTCTGCATCCATCAGCATAGTACAAACCTTATCTAAGGGCAACATGTCACTGCTCGACGTAATAACATCCATAAACGGCTGATATTCACTCGGTAACCCTTTCAAAATGCTGGCAATATGTCCTACAAGACGAATCGGGCTTCCACATAAAGCCAAAACATCACAAATTTCTTTGACTTTAGCAATGTAAACCCACATATTGTCTTCTGTTTTCTTAAGAGATTGAAGTTTACAATGTAAACTCATCACCGAGGTTGAAGACCTAGTTGCAAAGTATTGCAACACCGTAGCCCATATCGATGCAGCTGTCTCAACTCCCACAAACTGAGATAGAAGATGTGGACTAATGGTAGATAGTAACCATAACGTTAACGCACTGTCTTGGGTTACAAAATCATCGTAAGCTTCATTGGGAACCAAGCTGCCATTTTTATCAACAACCATCTCCGGTGGAGATTGCATAGCACCGGTGAGAAGATGCTCAAGTCAATGACTGCGAACAGTAAATAAAACTTGTTGTTTCCACAACAAGAAATTTGTTTCATCCAATACCATATTGATTTTCTTGTTAGTGAACATCGAATCACAACATTCAATAGAAAAAAAGCAAGAATCACATAAAGATTCGTTAATCAACCAAGAACACCATACCGAACTTATTGAGCAACCACCTTTCACGCTTAACAAGAACGCTATGAGTTACGCAACAAGAAACACGAGGCTCCAGGAACTTATTGCGATTGATACCAAGTGAGGAAGTAACTACAACGTCAAAGTGTAAAACCAGAATGCATATCGTTTATTCAACTATAACACTACTTATATACAAGTGTTTACAGCCAGCCCTTATAACTGCTCAACAGCTAACAGCTAACATTTAACAACCGTGCCTAACAGCTTCCCTAACTACACAACTAAATGTACACATTAGCTGACAACTTCATCATTCAACAGAGGTTAGTGCAAATTAAAGTGGGAGTTAAAGTGAACGAAGTGGGTGTGTTAGTGGAACTTCAGGATCCGATGGATGTTGATTCTGAATAGGATTCCTTCAAAGGATCTCCTTGTGTCTCGGGGTTTGAATAGAGAAGGATTTGACTGTATGTGTTGCTGGTGTGGGTCAAAGGTTGAGGAGATTAATCATGTGTTTCTAAAATGTTTTGTGATGTCAAATTTTTTGTGGGAGCTAGCTGATTGGTGGAACTTGAGTTGGCAGGAGTTTAATTGTATGGTGGAGATGTTAAATTTCTGTTTTGCAGTAAATCTAATTGCAAGTTTGAAAGGTGTATGGTTGGTTTGTATTGTTGTAGCGTTGTGGAGTGTATGGTTAACGCGTTCTTAATCTTGGAAGTATACACCTCCATTTTTGACAATTTTGTACCTACAAACAATTCATCCTAACCTATTGTCTTCTAAAAGTAAAATGTACTATGAAATAGGGACAGTAATAATATATTGCAATCACCATTAAAATCGTATTATTTTATTTACTTATAGAGAACCGACAATTTAAAAGAGGTTATGATGTCTTTTCATTTATGCACTTTGAATTAACCTTAGGCCCGAACTAATTTACATTAAAGAAATCGTTGTTGTTTTTAAATATTACTTCGAGCAATAGCGATTGTAATTAAGTGATTGAGTATTCACTATTAAATGGTTAAGGGTATTTAGAATAAATATTATTTTATAATTATCTTAGTTTAATAAAAAATAATATCTAATCCAATAAGAGTTTATTGTATCATACATAATTAAAATTAATCTTCAAATTTTTAAATATTTCAATTTTATCCTTAAATTATAATCTATAATTGATTTATATTTTTTCACCTATTATACTATTTTATTATTACTAAATGTCAATAATGACCAGTAGGTGAAAAATCAGCTTTATGTCCCAAGTTCTAACCAGACAGAATTAAATAATATAAGCAAATTGAAAGGGAAAAAAAAAGTATTCAGCCACCTCTCATTTGTCATTACCGACAAATAAGCACAAGGGAAATGTGGGTTCTAAAAGAGTTGTACTGCATCAACATCATTTAAAATTGTATATTATATTTATTATCAACTGATTTAATAAGATGAAATATTAAAAATTTTAAATATATTAAATCAAACGACCATATTAGTTAAAGAATCGTTGTTGTTCATTGAGTCTCGAGTTTGAGCACGCAAAATGTTCCAACAAATAAAAATTGTAGCTAAAGTTTTTATATTATGCCCTTATTTCCGAATGTGTGAAAACCAACACTTGGGCTGACTATAAGGCTCCTTGACCACTATAAAAAGGGCACTTCTGATTGCACCATGAAAAGCAAAAACCTCCATGATGTCCACTACATACTTGCTGGTTTTGCTACTAGGAGTGGTGGCTCTCACCACTCCCTCTTTTGGTACCTACGAGTCACCCGACTATGGCAAACCACCTTCTCCTGTTTACAAGCCACCCTATGGCAAATCACCTCCAAATTATGAACCACCAAAGAAAGAGAAACCTGAGCCTAAGCCACCGGTCCATGAGCCACCAAAGAAAGAGAAGCCTGAACCCAAACCACCGGTCTATGAACCCCCAAAGAAAGAGAAACCCGAGCCTAAGCCACCGGTTTATACTCCTCCAAAGAAAGAGAAGCCTGAACCCAAACCACCGGTCTATGAGCCCCCAAAGAAAGAGAAACCCGAGCCTAAGCCACCGGTTTATACACCTCCAAAGAAAGAGAAGCCTGAACCCAAACCACCGGTCTATGAACCCCCAAAGAAAGAGAAACCCGAGCCTAAGCCACCGGTTTATACTCCTCCAAAGAAAGAGAAGCCTGAACCCAAACCACCGGTCTATGAGCCCCCAAAGAAAGAGAAACCCGAGCCTAAGCCACCGGTTTATACACCTCCAAAGAAAGAGAAGCCTGAACCCAAACCACCGGTCTATGAGCCCCCAAAGAAAGAGAAACCCGAGCCTAAGCCACCGGTTTATACACCTCCAAAGAAAGAGAAGCCTGAACCCAAACCACCGGTCTATGAGCCGCCAAAGAAACCACCAACGTATGAGCCTAAGCCCCCAAAGCCACCGGTTTATGCACCACCAAAGAAAGAGAAGCCTGAACCCAAACCACCAGTCTATGAGCCTCCAAAGAAACCTCCGACGTATGAACCTAAACCACCAAAGCCACCGGTCTATACACCACCGAAGAAAGAGAAGCCTGAACCCAAACCACCAGTCTATGAACATCCAAAGAAGCCTCCAACGTATGAGCCTAAGCCACCAAAGCCACCGGTTTATACACCACCAAAGAAGCCTCCAGTGTATGAGCCACCTTATGGTCACTATCCAGGACACCCTCCAATGGGGAAGCCCTAATTGAATGGTCCCATCAGCTGGCAGCTATTATGGCTATTTAGATAGATGAGTAACCATAATACAATAAGAGTTGCTACCTAATCATGTTTAGTTTCCTTGTTCGTCATGTAGGCATGTTTTCTTCCATGTCATGTCAGCGAGATTGCTGATGGATGTACTAGTTGGATTTCCTATTCTGCATCTTCTTGTTTTTCAATAAGAATATATCCTGACTTCTAAATATATTTCAAATATGCCAACTAAATTATTTTCCTGTATTCTCATGCACGTGCATACCTTTTTGGTCATCCAAAATAGCTCCATACCAACTCAATTATCTTAACACAAATGTTATAAAAATGAGTAAACTATACGTTTAATACCTAAACTATCAATTTTGATTCATTTTAATATCGAAACTTTTAAAAAATTTAAAATCATACATAAAGTTTAGTTTTTGTTTTATTTTAGTATCGTCGTTCAAAATTGAAAATGTAGGTATTAAAACGGATAAAAATTGATAGTTTAGGTACTAAACGTGTTAAATTTTTTATGATGAAGGTACTAAAATGAAATAAAAACTAAACGTTAGGGATGATTTTGAAAAAATTAAAATTTAGGTACTAAAACAAACCAAAATTAATAGTTTAAGTATTAAATGTGTAGTTTACCTTATATAAATTGATCATTCCGCTGAACAATGTGAATATTTTTCTGCATTATTTTAGCAAAAATCTTATGTTTTGTTTATATGATGCAGTTGATGAATGATTAATAATCTTGCTAATCATTTTAACACAAAGAAATGGAATAATGATAATTCAAATAATGAGAATAATTTATATCATGCTAATCTTATATTTTATATATTTTTTTGCAAATAAAAACAGTTAGTTTATTCAAATTGATGAAATATCTAATAATTAAGGTTTATAACCATCGTTGTAAACTAAACACATAATTATGACATATTCATATTACAATTGAATTAAGAAATTAGCCACTTGATATCATAAGGACCATATAAAGAAAAAGTTAAAAATACATAAAAGAAAACTTGAACAAAAGATATATATACGAACAAATATAACTACATCAGTAAAAGAGCCACAATATGAGATCAAACTATTGAAAGATCACCGACCAGTGGGCTATCCATAAATTTAAAAATGGGGGTCCAAAATTTTAATTTTCGTTTCTTAAAAATAATGGGTATGCAAAAATTGTAATTTTTTTTTCTTTTTTCCTTAACATATTAAGCTAAATTTAACCACTTTTTAAAAATAATAGGGATGCACTTAGCCCCTATGGGGGCTTAGTGCATCCGCCACTGCCACCGACAATTGCAAATCAGTGTCGAACGTTGTGAGAGAACTCTCTCTAAACGCAAGCTATGTATCCAAATTTAATCTGAGGATCTAAATAAGAGAATATCAATAGGATAATAAATAAACGTCATCTTGATCAGTCAAGTGTCATCAAATCCAACTTTAAAAAAATTTAAAAATATAGCAAAATAATCGAAAATATACCAACAAATGGAAATAAATATATAAAATAGAGAAAAACATGTTATAGAAAGATAATCATATTTAAATATATTATATATTTATATATTCAAATACATTATATATTTATATATAGTATCAAATCATATTTATTTTTAAGGTAAACTACGCCAATGGTCACTGTTGTTTGGGTAAGTTTTTATTTTCACCACTAATGTTTAAAAGTTACAAATAGGTCACTAACGTTATCGTTTGTGACAAAATGGTCACTGGCCGTTAAGAGGCGTGACGAAAAATATAGCTGGACCGTTTTCTGCTGATGTGGATCATTGACCGCCATTTTGACTGGCTTTCTTATTCTTCAACCCAATCCTCATATTTTTCTTCACTTTTCTTCTTCTTTCTTTCTCTTCACTTTTCTTCACTTTCTTTCTCTTCACTTTTCTTCACGTATCTGAATTCCGAGGCCCTGTGTTACGGTTCAGGGAATATTTGTAAGCAATGTGAGGCTGAGCTCCCACTTGCACTGCCATTGACCCCATTGCTACCACAATTTCTGTCACGAAAAATGAAGCCATTTTCACCACCAAGGAAGTGCATTAGCAAGCTTTCCTTGGCTTTTTTTTATAGTTGGATCAATCGGAGCTTTGGCAGGGGTTTGCACTGTTTTTTATTGCTTATGGGTCGGAATGTGTGGGTTCTTGCTTCGCAAGACACATAACTCCGTGCAACCCACGGTTACAGATGCCAATATAATTATGACCGTTGTGGACAATAATGACACCATTGCCCCACCTGTAAGATCATTTTCCATCAGACGCAACAGCTCACGAAGATTAGGACGTGAAAGAAGTGGATCATCATCATCAAAACGTGCAGACAAAACCCAGCATTTTACGCTCTCAGAGCTTGCTGATGCCACCAACAACTTTTCAATGGAAAACAAGATTGGTGCCGGAAGCTTCGGGGTTATTTACAAAGGCAAACTTCCCGACGGTCGCGAAGTCTCCATTAAAAGAGGGGAGCCTTCAGCAAAGGTAAAGAAGTTCCAAGAGAAGGAAACCGCTTTTGAATCAGAATTAGCATTGTTATCACGGCTTCACCACAAGCACTTGGTGGGGTTATTTGGATTATGAGCAATGGATCACTTTATGATCATCTGCATAACAAAGATAACATTGAGAAGAGTGAGCATTTTAAATTCATGGAAAACGAGGATAAAAATTTCACTAGATGCAGCAAGAGGGATTGAATACCTCCATAACTATGCAGTGTCACCTATAATTCATCGAGACATTAAGTCGACGAACATACGATCGGATGCAGTTTTGGGGTTGTATTGTTAAAGCTCTTGACAGGAAGAAAAGCTGCTTTTAGAAATGAAGAAGATGGGCCTGGGACAATAGGAGTGGTTGAGTATGCAATCCGAGGTTATCGGCAGGGGATCTTCGGACAGTGGTAGATCGAAGAGTTGGGGTGCCGGAGATTCACGAGGCTGAGGCAGTGGAGCTGATGGCCTATACAGCTATGCAATGTGTGAATTTGGAAAGAAAAGAGAGGCCTAATATGATTGACATTGTCGCACAATTGGAGAAATCATTATCATTTTACCGGGACAGCCCTAGTGTCTCTCTTCTAGAACAATTTTCATTCCTTCAGAATGAGCTTCTGGAAGAGTTTGTTCTTTTATTAAATTTTTAAATCTAAATAAAAGATTAAAAGTGGAAAATGAGTTGTTATCGAAAACAAGCGTATCTCACGAGCAGTAATAGCCTGGAATGTCTCCACTCAACAATGAGAATTATGTCATGTGTGATAAGAGGAAAGAAGAAAAGTGAAGAGAAAGAAAGAAGAATAAAAGTGAAGAAAAAGAAGCTGGAGAATGGGGTGAAGGAGAAGAAGAGCCGGTCAAAATGACGGTCAACGATCAACGTCAGTTGATAACGGTCCAGCTGTATTTTTCATCAAGCCTCTTAACGGCTGTTAACGGCCAATGACCATTTTGTCACAAACGATAACATTAGTGACCTATTTCTAATTTTTGAAACATTAGTGATGAAAACAAAAATTTACCTAAACATTAGTTCCCGCTGCCGTAGTTTACCCTTATTTTTATGTAGGAAATTTTCAAATCCTATCTCGACCATGAAATCGTGTTTACCTACCTATGGGCACCTAATCCATGTAAGGTTCATTAAATTATTATTAGTTTTTTGCACCGACAGACACACGTAGACAGGCATGTCATGATGAGATACGTGGTGATGTGGAAATCCGGCATTTGTTATTTTTCAGTCGGAATTTGGTGGACAGTAAATCCGTAGAAATTCAATGATTTCTAACAACTTATTTTATATTTACACAAATCTATACCTAATTTTAGCATATAAGCATAGGGATTATTCTTCTACGGTGGACAAGCAATGATGAGAATTATTAAAGACGAATTTTAAAACACTTAATTTATATTTATAAATTAGTTAAAAATTTAAAGATAAATTGTTTAAAATAAAATATAAACTATACTAGTGACCACTTAATTATTGTCCATTTTCATTTTCATCAATATTTTTGAGATTTTGTCAATCAGGTCTCTCAACTATTTAAATGCATTCAATTAAGCCATTTGCCGTTAATAATTAACGAAGAAGATGCTGTGATAATTAAAATATTTGGTATAATTACACATTTGATCATTGTTACTTATATATTCTATCAATTTGGTCCTAATTTTAATAAATTAAAATAAACTTAACCCTCAAATTAAATGACGCCATGTATAATGACCCATAATTTAACTTTTTATTTTAATTTATTTTAATTTTAAAAGTTACGACATATTCTATATTTATAACAAAACAAAATTTATAACAAAATCTTTTTCTAAAAAAATTGAAAACTCAAGCAATAATTTATGATATTAAATTTAAAGCAAACTAAATTTTTCGCCATTTTGATATAGGTCAATTTCTTAGTGCAAAATTTTCCATGCTAAGTCCACCGAGAATCTTATCAGTATAAACTTTTATTAAAGATTGTCATAAAATTTTATGGTAGGAGATGAATGTTTAAAATTTGAAAGGAAGACTGTGTCAAACGTGAAAGAAATATATGTCACATTTTTCTATTAAAAATTTATTGGATACAAATTTCTTAGTTTTACAGGTTAGATTATGTCACATTTTTCTAGTAGAATGTTATTTACAAATAGTAGTAGGATACAAATTTTGTCCAACGAACTTTATATGCATGGGCTCGTCAACTATATTTTCATTAAAATCAAAAGAGCTTATGGTACCATTGACGGGATGCTTTTGAGAACCATAAATAGAATTTCTAGTAAAAATTTTTGTTTTGTTATAAATATAGAATATGTTGTAACTTTTAAAATCTTTTAAAATTTTAATTTATTAAAATTAGGACCAAATTGATAGAATATATAAGTAACAATGGCCAAATGTGTAATTACACCAAATATTTTAATTGTCACATCAACTTCTCCGTTAAATATTAACGGCAAGTGGCTTAATTGAATGCATTTAAATAGTTGAGAGACTTGATTGACAAAATTTCAAAAATATTGATGAAAATGAAAAAGGACAATAGTTAGATGATCACTAGTATAATTTACCCTTTCTTTTATATATACTTTATCTTTAAATTTTTAACTAATTTATAATTATAAGTTGAGTCCTTTAGAATTTAAATTTTTATAAATTAAATTA